CCCAGGGCCCACGGGGTGGGCCCCCGGTGGCCGCATCGAGGTGAAATGGCTATTTTCGGGCTTTCGGAGCTAAAATATGATAGATAACGTATAGTTTTGAAAAATTAGGCATCCGATTTTATATTTTGGTAGCTCAAAATTCCATAAAATTGCCGAAAAAATGGGTGCTTTTTGACCAAAAGATGCACTGGGTTGCAAAAAAGGCGAGGCTTAGGCCAAAAAGGACCTTTGGCATTTTCAGGGGGGATGAGGGTAGCCCGAAGTTTTCGTATAAGTCCGATGAACCAAAATTAACGCATTTTACTAGCGTTTTAATAGAATTTATCTATATTTCACGTGGAAAAATATCATAGAATCTTCAAAAATTTGAAAATTCCACGTTTTTATCGAAAATCGACCATTTTTGGTCGAAAAATGGCTGTTTTTGTGCCTCTAACAACATTTGTAAAATTTTTACCTCCAAGAATAGTAAAAATGAGTTAATTTTGTAAATTAAAACGTTTAGTAACTTTTGCAAAATCCGAAAATTCGTATTTTTGCTTGAAAATCGACCTGTTTTGGTCGGAAAAATTAAGAAAAATTTTTGCTAAAAATTCGTAGAGTTTTCACGATTAAGATTAGTAAAAGCCATTTTCAAAACATTTCCTCTATTTATATTTTTAAAAAATGGATAATAAAGAAAAAGCACGCCAAGATTAGTCCTCAAGAAGCCGGCGGGGGGTCATGGCGGCGTGGCGATGAGCCCCTGACCACCACCACCACCTGACCATGGGCCACTTACAAGCCCATTCAAACCCTCATCCCCCCTTGGCCCCTTCCCTTTAGGGCCCACTCTTCATTATCATGGGTCCTCCTGCTCCTCCTCCTCCCCCATCACTGACTGACAGCCCTTTCATTTCATTAGCACCCCAGCGTGCCCCCCCCCTTCTACACCCCAACCAATTAGCCGGCCCGCACGGCTTTTCACCGCCAAACTTGGGGCCCAATCCGGATCCGGGGGCCCGTGCTCTGGGCGTGCATGCCGACAGAGAGACACACGCACACACACACTGGAGTGGCTCAAGTGTGAAATTGGGCTTAAATGGCGGCAGAAAATTCAGCGCAGACCGGGAAATGTATACGAGAGGTACGACGGTCCATGAATTTTAGAACTAACGCGGGGTGGAAAAGAAAGATAAGCTTAGGATTAGGCTTAGGATTGGGCTTAGACTTACAAGGGAACCTCAAGTTGGCACGGTGGAATTTCGAAAAACGCTCGCGGCTACCCCTAGGTTTTCGACTATGGCGATTCCAACGGTCTGGTCAGAATTTCCTTAATGGACCTGTGGACAGAGATACAGCACTTCCGGAAAATGATAATTTACATCCGAAAAATTAGCATTAGCGATAGGTTTATGAGACCCTCCCATCACTATGGAATCACCAGTGGAGTGGCCGAGTGGTAAGCAACTCGCTTGATAGGATGCTGATCAGGGTTCGAACCCGCTCACGATTTTTTATTTTGCTTTTTGACCGGAACTTTCTGCCCAACTCCCAGTTTTGGTTACTTTTTCCGAAAATTCGTTCTGTTTCTAAAACGTCCAAAATCGTTAGCGAAGCCAAAAAAAAAATTAAAAAATCTCATTCGAGTGAACCATATGTAAAAAAACGGAGCTGGGAACACCCAGCTGTTTGCATAATTTTTGCGAATTTTTGAGGCTTCTTTGGAGTAATCAGCCTAGGCCATAAACAAAATTTTTTTCTTATAGTAAAAATCAAAACTGGGGGGTTGGGCAGAAAGTTCCGGTCAAAAAGCAAAATAAAAAATCGTGAGCGGGTTCGAACCCTGATCAGCATCCTATCAAGCGACTTGCTTACCACTCGGCCACTCCACTGGTGATTCCATAGTGATGGGAGGGTCTCATAAACCTATCGCTAATGCTAATTTTTCGGATGTAAATTATCATTTTCCGGAAGTGCTGTATCTCTGTCCACAGGTCCATTAAGGAAATTCTGACCAGACCGTTGGAATCGCCATAGTCGAAAACCTAGGGGTAGCCGCGAGCGTTTTTCGAAATTCCACCGTGCCAACTTGAGGTTCCCTTGTTAGGCCAGACTTAGGCTTAGGTTAGACTTAGGCTTAGGCTTAGTTTAGACTCAGGTCCAGCTTAGGTTTAGGCTTAGGTTAGACTCAGGTTCGGCTTAAGTTTAAGCTTGGGTTAGCCTCAGGCTTAGGCTTAGGCTCCGGCCTAGGTTATGCTTAGGCTTAGGCTTAGGTTACGCTTAGGCTTAGACTTAGCTTAGCCCAAGACTAAGGCTTAGGCTTGGCTTAGGCGTAACTTAGGCTTAGGTTACGCTTAGGCTTAAGCTTTCCAAGCCATATCCAACCAAAGTAAAAAGCTAAAAAAATATATGCGGCGTGTCTAGCACCAAAAACTATGACCCACCCCCACTCAGGAAGCTGACTGCTGGCCATAGTGTTGCAAGGGGCTGGCGCCGGGGAGAAAAGTAAAATCTCGGATGTTTTCCTCGCCCCCGGGGATTCTTTTGGTGGCTGGGGCTGGGGCTGGAGGAGGCGTTTTGGGGCGTGTCCCCAAATGGGTCCCCGGCCACCACTTGTCGCCAAATGCCACTCCACAACACCACAATCGCGGCTCTTGCTCTTGCTCCCCACTTTTCCTGGCCCGCCCTGCCACCACCACCATGACCCTGGTGCCGTGTCGTGAAAAATTGAGACTGAGCACGTCTGGCTGGGCTTGTTGCCAGAAAGAAAGGATCTTCTGCTTCATCGGGGGAACCGAAATTTTTCTATAAGTCTAGAAATGCCTAGTCATTGTAATAATAAGCATTTCAATAGTTTTTTTCGTAAAAAATATTTCGAGCGGACAAAAAACTACAAAACAAAACTTGAAAATTTTGTTGTTCGAGAATTTATCATTTTTGGTCGAAGAATGCCATTTTTTTATAAGTTGTAGTAAAATATCGCTATATTTCAAGTAGAAAATCAATTTCAAAACGCAGAAAAAATTTAAGTCGACTTTTCGGCCAAAATCTCTTTTTTGGATTTTTTAACGAACATTTTTGTCTCAACGATTTTTGTACTGTTTCTCAATTTAAACCTTTACAAGTTTTTATGAAAAATTACAATAAAATGGGTTTTTCGGCCAAAAATGGCTGATTTGCCCAGAATTTCGACTTTTTGAAAATGTTTAGGGTTTTTCGATATTTTTTTCTAGTGGAACTACACCTATATTTTACTAAGGACACTGCCAAGTACTGCCTATGAAGTTACAAGGGACTTCTAGATTCATAAAAAATTTCGGTCTTTTTCTACGATGCTCCACTCTCAGGAATATCCACATGCCCCAGTTTGGCCATATTAGCCGGAAACTCCCACCAAATCCCGGGCCACTCAACTCGGCAACAATTAGCCGGGGTGGCGCCAGAATTTATGCATGCGGAGTGATAGGGGGCCCCGGCGGGCCATGATGGATGCGGTAGCGAGGTCTCCACCCGGCCGCCGGGGCCCCTGAGAATTTGGCCCCTTCGAAATGAATCATTGACCCTAGGGGGCGCTCAACCCGGCCAACCACTTCCACACATCGGTTATCTCGCCGGCGAATTGGTACTGGAGAGGAGTATAGGGGTGAGCTGTATATTTTTGTGTAGCTTTAGAAAAGTCTAGTAACTTAAAACGAACTATGTCATTAGTGTTTTATAAAATAGAACTATATTTCAACCAGAAAAACCATTTAAAAACTTTAAAGTCGAAATCTTGAACAAAAACCGGCCATTTTTGGAGCAAAAAAATGTATATATTGTTTAGTTTTAACTAAAAATTTGTAAAGTTTGTATCCTGAGAAATCGTAGCAATAGTTTAGAAACGTTTACACTATTTCATTCGAAAAACTGGATCATCAGGAGGAAACTGGCAGAATTAAAAGGATTAAACTATATATTCCAGCAGGAAAACCAGTTTTTAAATTCAAAAATTTTTTGAAATTGTGATTTTGATAGAAAACACGTTTTTTTATATCCTACCTCATATAATTTTTCATAAAACTTTGTAGTCCCAGAAATAGTAAAAGCGCGCAGGTACCGTAGTCTTTTAAGTACAGTTTAGTTCATGCAAAATGATCCAAAAGTGCTCAGAAATGTTATAGAAGCATGAAAAAAACTAAATACCCTAGGAAAATAACTTCCGCTTTATTATTAGGCGGATAGTGGCTCAATTTAAAAATTTAGTCCCCCCCCCCCCGATAACGCGAAAGCACCCGAATTCGATATTCAGAATTGGAATTGCGAATACCTAAAAACAAAAATAACTTTCTCGCGACTTTGCAAGCCAAACGGGGAGAGCAAATTGCGATCCAAGCCCTCCAGAAAAGAGGCAACGCCGAGCGGGGAGGAAGTCTCGAAATCGGATTTGGCACGCCGAACGCCTCTCCATCCCGAAAAGAGGTCCCGCCGCCGCGAGGGTAACAAGGTGGAAACACCAGTCGCGGGAAAAGCTTCAAAACCAAATCAGTAGTTCAAGAAACCCCCGAGAGGGTCGCGAATATTTTTTCAAGCGGGTTCCCCTGGCCGTGCAAGGCGCCAAGTGACCAGGAGCGCCGCCTAATGAGGCGCCGGAAAACAAATGACCGTCTGCCAGAAGGAGGGGGCTGAAGGAGAGGCGCGCCTCACACCACACACACAACCCGAATTAGGCATTAACCATCTGTGCCCTGGGGGGCATAGGCGCAGGAAATGAGCTCATGTCCGGCCTGTCACCCGTCAAGAAAGAACTGGGGCGGGGCGCCGTGGTTTCACCGGCACCATGGCTTCTCCGCTTGGTCGAGTAACTCGAAAAAGTCCAAGAGCTGTTGTTCCACAGTATTTTCCGTCATTTTTAATTACGATGCAAGCTCTGAATTGCTTCGCATCATAGTTTTAAGTTGCAAAATTTATTTCCAAACAAAATGAACAAAAAGTAATAACGAACTGTACAAACTACAACTAGATAACCAAAAAACTAATCATACTAGCAATTTTTGTTGGCGTGTCCGCACGTCCTTAGGAGCGTCCAGCGGATTTGTGTCGTGGTGGATTTGGGCGAGCGCGGTTTTTAACTAAATAAAGAGTAAACTTTAAGTTTAAAAGCCTCACCTCGTTAATATCCTGCTTCTTCGCCGACGCCAAAATTGCGCTCCGAAACCGCAACGGCATCTTGGGTCTCATCTCTCGCGGAAGGCTGTCGTACCACCGTTTTTCCAGCAGCCTTTCTTTCAGCTGTTCGGCCTCCTGGAAACCAATCAAAAAAAAAATAAAATTTAATTTACCTGAGGATCTTTTGCGATGTCCATTTTGTTCAACAATACGACTGCCGGCTTCTTCACGAGCTCTTTGTCGTAGTTTTCCAGCTCAATATTGAGCAGAGCTATCGTCTCAAGGGCGGTTCTGAAAAGAAATGTGGCATAGTAAAGGCATCACTACCTGTAAGGCTCATCGAAGCTAGCCTTCAGTTGGAATCCATTGACATCAATGACGAGTAGCAGGATCCCACAGTATTCCAGGTGCTTCAGAAAATGGTGACCCTTGCCGCGATTCCGCGAGGCGCCTTCGATCAGCCCTAAAACCCGTATCTATTTTCTAAAAACTCGCATACCTGGTAAATCAGCAATTGTCAGGGTAAATGGATCATCCGCAACGGACTGCTTTTTCGGCTTCCAAAAGCCGATCTAAAGAAGATTGTAGAGAAATATTAAAGTCTTATGTTCTTTCGCATTAGCGGGGGCAACTTTTTTTAGAAGTCCAGAAATGTAGATTATCATAGTAAGTTGTTTTTAATAAAGTTTAACGATAGTTTCGGTGGAAAAGAATCAGAAAAACACCTTGAAATTTTTTCCGGTGGCATTTTCGTCGAAAAATCAATATTTTTGTCTCTTACTGAAAATTTGTCAGGTTTGTACATTTAGGAATAGTCAAAGAAAAACCGTTTAAACATATCCTCTTTTTTATAGCATAAAACCTGAATCCTTAGAAAAAATTGCCCCGCCCCGATAATGCGAAATAACGAATTCTTACATACCTGAGGTTCGAGCGTCGTAAAAGGGTAAGGCGCGGTCTTGACCTCTTTTCGAGGGATGAAAGCCTTCAGAAGTGTAGATTTCCCGGCGTTCGGAAATCCCACAAGCCCAACATTTGGCCGCAACTTCAGATGGACGCTCAGGACAAAATTTTCGCCTTTGCCGGGCCTAGGAAAAGTAAACGTATTGGCAGATTGGACTTACTTATAACCATTTACAACCGATGCTCCATCACCACCCCGCGCCACCAGCAATTTCTGGTGAACACGATTGCAACGCCCCAGGAGCACATTGTTTTCCTCGTTCACTAGCTCGACTCCCAGCGGTACGTTGACTATCTAAATATTCATCCTAAGATGCTCTAAAAAACATACCAAATCTCGCCCTTTATCGCCGATGAGCTTCGTTTGCGTACTTGAAGTGCCAGGAGCTGCCTTTGCCACGAGCACCCGTGTCTCTAATGTGCCGCCCAGCGCCTTCGGGATGTCTTTGAACGCAATTTCCGGTCTGGCCACGAAATAAACGCTGCCTCCAGCGCCGCCGGTGCCGTTGTATCTGAAAAAATATTTCTCATCGAAAATAAAATCTTTGACGGTGCACAAAAAAAATCTATAAATTTTAAAATTATTTACCTTGCAATACCACTTCCCCCAGCACCGCCTCGTACAGATATTCGCAAGCGATCACACGTAACAATATTCTGTTCGTGAGATATCGTTTTCTGGAGCTGCTTGATCACGTTCCGGAGGTGGTTGGTAAAGTGCATCTCCTGAAAAGTAATGAATATCTTAAATACTTAAACAAAACCTAAAAAAACCTGAAAGAACCTGAAAACCAAAAAATGGTTTTCTTTTCTTTATTTGTCGTCGTATCTTCTAGTTAGACACCGCACTACACCCAACGACACTGCTCGCGCCTTTCCCTGCCGTAATGCCCTCGAAAAGATCAACAAAATAATAAATAAACATTTTTTTTCTGCTATTCAAACTGTTTCAAATAAAATAAAATTATAGGAGCAGGATGAGCCTGACCTTCCACCGAAGGATTCGGTTGGCTGTGGCCACCCTCAACAACTGGGCCCTCGACTTTCAAGGGAATTATGAACGGATTAAGAAAAGTAAGCATTACTTTTTACTATAACGGACTGTTTCAGCGTGTGAGGAAGCATACAAAGCTGGAGCTACACTGCGCGTCGGCCCTGAGCTCGAGATTCCAGGATACGGGTTTGTAAGGGTGGAAAAATGTACCTGTTTACAGATGCGCCGATCATTACTTTGAGCTGGATACGGAACTGCACTCTTGGGAAATTCTACATAGGCTTGTGCATGATTCGAAAAAGGTAGGATGACCTTGATTGTACTTTTATGATGCTATTTAGTGGAAGAATTTATTGGTGGTGACTGGTATGCCGGTACGGCGAGACGGTCTTCTTTTCAATTGCTGTGTGGCGTTTGCGGAGGGGTTTGTCAAAAAGAGGATTAACGATTTATTTTAGGCACATCCTACTTATCAGGCCGAAGATTACGCTTTGCGATGATGACGTTTACCGTGAATCTCGGCAAGTTTTTATAGTTCTTTCGTGGAATAGCTTTTCAGCTGGTTTGTGCGCTGGAATCGGCGTGGCGTCACCGAAAGATTCGAAATTCTGCCGAGCTTTGGGTTTGACGAGCCGGAGGTGCCTTTTGGGGACGGCGTGCTGAGGACCGCCGACAATGTGACGATCGGTTTCGAGATTTGCGAAGAATTGTGGACAGCAAATAGGTGAATGGCTACAGGGTTTTGTATCGTTTTTTAGTTCTCACGTGCACATGGGCCTCCGCGGAGTGGACATTATTGTCAACAGCTCGGGCAGTCATCATATTCTCGGGAAAAGCTGCTATCGGCTCAATCAATTGATCCTGGGGTCGACGGGGAAGGTAAGAATTAAAATACGGAAAAATAATCTTACTAAAGAAGCACATGGACGTTTCTTAACTAGTTTTTTAGGTAGGAGGAGTCTACCTGTTCGCGAACCATCGTGGATGCGATGGTGATCGAGTGTATTACGGTATGCCTTCTTCTTTTTATACGTACCTTGTGCTTTAGACGGAATGAGCAGCATATCCCAAAATGGAAAGCTCTACGCACAAGTTAACCAGTTCGACATCGAGGATACAGTAAGGTTCCTGGATTTTCGAGAAGAATCATTTTAGTGTATCGCCACTTCGTTGATCGACTTGAACCGCAATTTGACATATCGGTCGCGTTTGGCGAGCATGAGAAATGAGGTTTGTATTTGCCGGTCTATTTTCATCTACGGATTTTAAGGCTGCCGCACTCCCCTACCTGCAGACGGTTAAGGTGCCGTTGACGCTGACGGACAGTAAAGCAAATCCCGCTGAGCCCTTGACCGAGCCGATTGTGACCAGGTAACGGCTAAAAAATACAAAAAAAAATTGGGTTTCTTCGATCAGAAATCCCGACTTTTTCGACGTTTTTTGTTTTTCTACTTAATATTCTGAATTCTACTAATTCTACTACTAAAAACTTTTACTAGTAGGTTACGAGAGATTTCTGGATCCGCCTAGATATTGCGAAAACGCCCAAGATTTCTATACAAAACTTTACAGGCAAAAAACGCCGATCGAGGAGCTATGCGAGGGTCCGCCGGCCTGGCTTTGGCATTACCTTAGAAGGAGCAAGGCGGTATTTACATTTCTGACAGCCTATTCAATACTCTTTTAGTCTGGGTTTTTCCTGCCACTCTCCGGCGGCTCCGATTCCTCTGCGGTAGCGGTGATGGTGCGGTTAATGTGTGAGAAAGTTTGCTCCGCAGCCAAGTTGCGTCGCGAAAGCGGAGGTTTGTTTGAGACTAACGAAATGAAAACCATGATTCCTGTTTAGGCGATGACGATCCGGCTTACTTCCTCAATGGCAAGCGCGTCAGCGAGGATCCAGACGTTTTGTGCAGACAAGTAAGATCGAGACCATTTTTACTAGCCCAACGTTTAGGTATTGCACACATGCTACATGGCCAGCGAGCATTCTAGCCAAGAGACGCGCAAGAGCGCCGACGGCTTGGCCAAGGCGATCAACAGCTCTCACACCAGGTGGCGCGTGAATTCTTTGCTTTTAAAAATCTGATTTGAGCCTGCTCATTGACACTGCCGTCTCGGCGATGCTCGGCATATTCAAGCTGGCCTACAACTTCATACCCAGCTTTTCGGTGCGACAGGTTTCGGATCGTCGATAGAACATTTTTAGAGCAACGACAACCGGGAAGCGATGGCGCTGCAAAATATCCAAGCCCGGATCCGGATGGTGCTAGCCTATCTATGCGCGCAGCTGGCTCAGGCGGCCCGAGGCGAAGCGGGATGGTTGCTGGTGCTCGGAACAGCGAATGTGGATGAGAGGTGAGCTTGGTATTTCTATTCTGCTCTTGCCCCCATTCGCTTTCGTCATGCCCGCGACTCGCAAAACAAAACCATTTATTTAACACAGGACCAAGCCGCCAAATGGTGAAAGAGCGACGAACAACTACAGAATCATTTAGAGAAATTGTGAACGAAGGGTGGCGTTCTGGCTTTTGGATCCTTTGGGTTAAACGGGGCGGGGCGGGGGCGTCATCCTCGACTCATTGCTTCACGGGAATGCCGCGTCCGGATTTGATGTCCGAGTAGAGGCCGTACAGGTCGAACACCAGCTCGTCGGGGAAGGAGAATGAGGCGAGTTCCGTCTGAAAGGGTTGAAATTGAAAGTGCTCCAATCATGGCGGAACCTCGCGCAGCTTGGTGACCATCTCGACCGGCGTGTTCGACATGGCGGCCACCTCGCACACGCTACGCGACAGTTCTTCGTCCTAAGCACGTGAAAATATCTGTTCCTTTTTGCATTTAGGGTACCGAGCATCCAATGTACTCCTCGAACAGCTTGTTGATGGCGGCGACGATCTCGGCCGGTACTTCGCCTTCCTTCTCTTTGTTTGGCTCGGCGACCTGCTGGACGACGGCGCTGCCGTTGGCCTTGAAGCGGATCGTCATCGCGCCGTTGTCGCCAATCTTCGGCGACGAGATCCCCTCCTGGCGCGGGTTGATCTTCGTCAGGCCGTTCTCGAACGGGCAGATCAGGCGCAGCTTGACCCTAGAAGCGTTAAAGTTCTATAGATTTAGTAGTAGTAATTATAGTTTTCATTCGCCTTACGTCGATCCGATGGGCAGCTCGCGCAAAAAGAGAGCCACATCGTAGTGTCGCTTGCCGACCATGTCGACGTCGTTGATGCGCTCTAAAAATCGATAGTTTTGGGGAGAATCCAGCGCTCACCGATGTGCATCCCCTCGGCGACGGCCGGTCGCGCCAGGTCAGCCGCCGAACCCGGGCGAATCTTCTTGACAAAGCACTTGCCGGTCCCGTTGTCCGAGATCGTCAGCCCGATAATCCTAGAGGCTCAAAATAAATGCCGATGCCTTGGTCACCTACTTGTCCGTCTTCTGGATCTCCAGCTCGCGCTTTTCGCCTCGCACGTGGAGAAACAGGATGTCTCCAAAGTTCAGCTGGCTGCTCACCACCGCATCCATATCGACCTGAGGGGACAGGTTCATTAGCGGGGGGGGGGGGGCTAATTTCTCTTATACAGCTTATCATCTACGGTAATAAAGATATCGTTTTTAGTAAAGTCTGGTTACTAAAAATCTAAAAATCTAAAATGTGACATTTTGTCGGAATCTGAATTCTTTCCAAAGTTTTATTACTTTTTAATCAATTTTATCTTTAAAAACTCGTAAAATGCTATAAAAGTTATATGACATTATAGGGCTGCCCCCCCCCCCCGCTAACATATAAGCACCAAAGCTTTACCTTGTATGTACCATTGGTCAGGTACAGGAAGTCCTCCTTGGGCACATTCGGGAAGCATTCGGCGATTTTCTAGAAAACACTGTACTCGCTTTTGCGTATGCCAGCCTACATCATAAAGCTGGGCGATGGTGCTCACGCCGCTGATGCTGTGCATCATCGACCCGTGGGCCAGCTGCACCAAGAAATGCGACGTGTCGACGTCTTGAAGGGACCGCGAGGCTGCAGTCGGATTTTCGGCGGGCACTTCCACGTTGTCGGGTTTGGCTCCCAGCGACTTCGCCCAGCGGTTGCGGCTGCGGCTGCGCGAACGCTTGCGACTGCGGGAGCGGGCCCTGCAACGAGTTCTGTGCAACTTGGAGAGACTGACCTGTTCCTCTGGAAATCCATCTTTAGCGAATGTGATTGACGAATACCGAATGAGTCGCACTCTATTTTTATATGCGGCCAATCTTGGAAATTTATGCGCTTCCGGAATGATGCAAATCAACTATTCAAGCGACTCGAGTTTAGGAAAATTCCCTGTACCGTTCTCGAATCCGTGGGTCATATAGAGGTTCTCGCTAGGCTATAGCTGTTAGATCTGATTTTTAGATTAGCTGATCCCCTTAAAAAGCTTCAACTCTTAATTCTAATCTCAAAAATATGACAAAAAAAAACATTGTTTCAGTTTGGTGGGCTACCTGACGAAATACGACTGCTCGTCCGCCGACATCAACCCGATCGGCTCGATTTGCAAGACGGACCTGCGCGACTTCCTGAAATACGCGCACGATGAATTCGGATTCGAGGCTCTCAAATAGTTCGTGAATTTGGAGAAGCTTAACCATGGTTTTAGCGTAATCCATGCCGCACCCACCGCCGAGCTACGTCCCCTCGTTGAAGGCCAAATCGCACAAACTGACGAGGTATCTAAATCCGCTTGAAAAAAAAACTGCTTTTTAGGAGGAAATCGGGCTCACCTACGAGGAGCTCTCAACAGTCGGAAAATTGCGAAAGCCCGGCTGCATGGGCCCGTATGCAATGTTCAACGCCCTTGTTTCAGTCTGGGCAGAGAAGTACACTTACGATGAGGTGAGCGCCTGGCTTAATTCCATTTAAAATATGGTTTAGATTGCCGAAAAGACGATCCTGTTCTACCGAAGATACGCAATCAATCGCCACAAAGCCACGGTGTCGACCCCAGGTAGTACTTTTTTAAAACGATTTTAATCGGTAATTTTACAGCCTACCATGCGGAAGCGTATAGCTGCGATGACCATCGCAACGACCACCGCCCCTTCCTTTATCCGGACTTCCAATATCAATTCCAGCAGATTCGAGAGCGGGTAATTCAGCTCTTTTTTTCTAAAATCATTATATTTTTTTAGGCCAAGCAACTTGCCAAGATGTAAACAATCAGAAGAACCTTTGTCACTTTGAATAAAAGTCTATCAAATATTTGAGCAAAACTATGGAGTAACATTGCATTTACCTGAAAAAAATTGGATTTTCGATCGCAAGCACCCGCCCTAGATGAACCAAGCTTCGCCGCTGAAAGTCGTCGAGTTCTTCTCGGGCATTGGCGGGATGCATTATGCGCTGCAAGGTGTGTTGGAGCTTCTAGAAATCAAAAGGGTCGCTAGAAACTGGGCTACCGTTTGAGGTCATCGCCGCCTACGACATCAACACGACGGCCAACGAAATCTACAGGCACAATTTTCCGAACACGAAGCTTTGTCAAAATAATATACAGGTGGTTTGGCTTTTTCTTTAATCGCTAAATGACTTTAGTCTCTAACTTCGGCGCAGCTCGACAAATTCGACGCGGATTTGTGGACGATGAGCCCGCCATGTCAACCGTTTACTTCCAAGGGCCTACAACTTGGCGAAAACGATCGGCGGTGTGATGCTTTGAAATGGATACTGGACTGTCTGGAAGGAATGGCAAAATTACCAAGGTAGTGTAAATTTTTAAGGCTCGACTACCGTTTTAGGCATATCTTCTTGGAGAACGTCGTCGGCTTTGAAACGTCACCAATGCACACCGACACGCTTAAAACGCTCGAGCGAAAGGGCTACGCATTTGAGGTATGTTTCGTTAGCTGCGGCGAATTTTAAGTTTTGTTTTCAGCATTACATCCTCTCACCAGTGCAACTCGGCATCCCGAACAAGCGGCCAAGGTATTACCTCCTCGCGTCTATACATTCGGCACATCACCGAGAAGCTCAGGAAATCAGAACGACGCACCCAAAGTGTTGCGACGACGTGGCGCAAGTAAGATTGGTGCGAAAACCAAATTTATTCTTTTAGATAGGCCAATTCATTTCCCCCGAACTTGACGACCCGAGCCTGACTCTACGTGACGAGGACCTGAAACGGTGTGTAGAACTCTTCATACGATTTTTTTGGATTGCGAACTCGGCAGGGCAGGAACTCTATTTACGCTTATCTACATCACAAATTCATAAATTCCAGTTTCGCTGCTTCACTGGACGTTGTGACGGAGGAAAGCCGAAAGTCCGCCTGTTTCACAAAGTCCTACGGTACCTACATGACGGGATGTGGATCCTATTTCACAAGAGACGCGGACATGGTTTGTTACTTTCCAAAATCAATCGATTTTTTAGGTTTCTGGCAATCGAATTGCGGAAGGGAAGGCCTCAAAGCTGCGCAGATTTTCGCCACGCGAGGTTTGTCGTGCAAAAATTCCCATATTATTTTTAGGTGGCAAGCCTGATGTGCTTCCCCGAAACCTTCAGCTGGCCGGCGACCACCACAAGCAAGCAACTCTACCGTACCCTCGGCAATTCGATCAATGTTCATGTCGTTTCTGTGTTGTTGACCGAATTGTTAGCTGACGAGCGTACGGAATAAATTTGCATAATCCACATGGTTTTGAAGCAAATTAGCATGTTCAGCTCCGGATTTAAATGGCGCGTTGAATGCATTCCTGGTCTAGAAAAGGTAGATCGAATTCATTTGTCATACTGCTCCCCAATCCGATCGATGCCCGGGAAGCGCGCTGCCTCGCAGCCGCCGGCGCCCGACGATGACCATCGTCGATCGAAGCGTTCGGCAAAAGACGTCGACACGATCTCTCCCTCGCGCCGCGTCCGCTTCAACGACTCGGCACGCGTCAAACAGATTCCAGACCTGGTGGGTGGACACGATCAAATCCTCATCCAACCCAGCCCCTTTCAGAGAGCCATTCGAAAAGGGACGTGCGTGTCCATCTACTCGACGTCGAGCATCCTGATCCCGGTCGTCGACACGCCGAGTAGCCACGAGCGCCCATCGAGGTCACGCGAACGCCGCAAGACGCGACGCGTCCGCCAGCGCCCCACCCGTCGATCCCATGATGAGAAAAATGATGAAGCCGAGGAATCGACCCAGCGCTCCAGTGACAGCAGCTCGGCGCGCAGTTCATCATCCCACAGGCGCAGCTCGTCCTCACGTGGCCGTGGTTCGAGGAATGTGGGTGTCGTTCTTTGGTAGAAGATTACTGGTTACTTTTTAGTCGAGTTCATCCCGCAGCTCGAACGTTCGTTACGATAGCAATGGCCGACCGCACGATGCCATCACCGGTCAATTCGTCTCGCCGAAGCGCTTGCGGTAGCCGCACCGCGACGCGTCGTTCACCTTATCACCGATCGAAACTCCCAACAACTACTCGGATAAAATGGAAACATTTCTTTAAAGCATGATACTGTTTGACGCGTTTACTACTTGATTGTGAATAAAGTTTGTGGCTCTGAAAATTCTTGAAAGAGATTGCGAAGCGACCAATAGCTTCAAACCCCGCAAGCACGAATTTTTACTTCCGAGCCCCTTGAAGTTTGATGTGTGCCAAGAAGTGCGGCATAGCAGAGGTTCGTTGGCTCTGTTTTTGGGCGGCATCCGAAATCCGGTGGCCCGAATTGTCCAATATGAGAACGCGCCCTTCTTAATCACGTTACGTCAAACGCTTTATAGGGTTAAAGGGAAAAGGTGAAAGGTGGTCAATCCGAAGGTACACAAACGAGTTGGACAAATAAAATCAGATTTTGATTTTGGCTGCAGGGCAACATTCACCGGCACCCTTTTCGTATAAGCGTCGAGCACACGTTGTCATCAATGCCAATTGGCGCCAATCTGCAATCAAATATTGTTAAAAAATTTCCGAAAAAGAAGCGCTTGAAAATCCAATGATGACTCTACCATTGGTGATTTCTACTGACCTTCGTTGTCTCGTTGGCGCTGTTCAGAATCGACATATCGCTCATAAACATCGGCGATCCCACGAACGGCAACCAACGGCATTACCGTATGACTAAAAACCTATTGGGTTAGGGTTAGAGAGTGAGAGCGAGGTAGAGAGCGAGAGCGAGAGGGAGAGAGAATGCGTAAGTGAGAGAGAGAGGGGAAGAGAGAGTGAGTGAGAGAGTGAGTGAGTGAGAGCTAGATACAGAGGGAACGCACCATCTGTCTGCTGGTTCACTCGCTAGTCTTTCGTGTTGGATTTCGATGAGATGTCCATTCTTGTTCTCATAAGCTTCTACGTTGAGGCTACCGAATTGAGTACGGACGGTCACTGTTTTCATTTTACAGTCCGCGGCAATACAATCCTTCTAATGAGATAAAAAAGTTTATTGCTCCCTTGAAATATTCGTAGTGGGCACCCCACATAAACTTTTCCAGTTCTAAACTAGGAGCAACTCGAAAAAATTAAGCATCTGTTTAAAGGGGTCCGGAAGGCAGGACCTGCAAATGCTAGTTGAGTCCCCTTTGAGACAGCAGGTCAACCAGCCTTTTTCGATACTGTAGCCGTGCTTCAAATCCCTTGAAATTTAACCTTCAGGCAAAACCCTTGAGGCCAAAAGTTTATTCGATCAATCGGAAATCCGGTCAATTTGCGGAACACAAATTAGGAAAAACGAATATCAGATGGTGATTTGCGATGGAGGGCAACATTCTCCGGCTCCCTTTTTGAATAGTCGCAGAGCACAATTTTTCATCACCACCACTTCGGGCCAATCTGGAATCGATCATGAGAACAAGCTTAAGTTCAGTCGGAGAAAAAGAAAGTGATGAATGCGAGCAGCGGCTAAAATTGTAGAAGCCTTTCCGATAATTTCTTTACTTACCTTCCACCACACGTCGAGAATGTTCCGAATCGACCCATCGTTCATAAACATCGGCGATCCCAGAAATGGCCACCAACGGCATTAGTGTATGACTAGAAAGATTCTGGGTTAGGGTTAGAGGATGAGTGAGATTGAGAGAGCTAAAGATAAAGAGAGCGAGCGAGGGAGAGAGAGAGAGAGAGAGAGAGAGAGAGAGAGAGAGAGAGAGAGAGAACGCACCATCTGCTTGTTGGTTGACCCGCTAGTCTTTTGTGTTGAATTTCGATGAGATGTCCATTCTTATTCTCGTACGCCTCCACTTTGAGGTGACCGAATTGCGTACGGACGGTCACTGTCTTAACCTTGCAGTCCATGGCAATGCAGTCCTTCTGAAAAAGTTGATAAAGTCGAAGAACAACCACGTCCGCACCTTCCACTTTGCGGCAGTCGCACAGTTTCCACCATGCTTCTCCGGCAACGATAAACCGCCGAGCCATCTCAGCCATTGCCGCTTTTGATACATACTCCAATCCAAGGTAGCTGTGTATGCTCCCCGGCAAGGAGAGAGCGCACCAGGGTTTTGCGCTTCGACGTCATCCAGTTTTTCGGCGAGCTCCCGCTCGTGTTCCCTTTTTAGTTCAGCGTCCTAATATATTATAAATTCAGGTGTTTTCGCATTTTCGGGGAGGGGAGGGGTAGAAATCGGGCGAAGGGGAACAGGATTTTCTCTCGGAGGCCCAGAAATGATCTAATGTATCTAACATGTAGTGGTTGTGGGGTCTCAGAGTCCAAAAACAGCTCAAAATTGGTGGCAAAATCAAATAAGCACGATGCGATAAAAATTGGCTGCCAATGGCCACTTTTGTTTAATAAACTTTTAATTTTAAGATTTTGTATGGAAAACTACCTAGAATCGCGACCTGGGGCGCCAAAACCGTTAGGCACAGGGGAGCCCTCTTGAAGTCTTCCCAAGAGACCCTTCCCGTCGAACCGGTAGTGTAGGGGTAAGGTGTATCGAAGTTCCGGATCCCGTCGTTAATTTTAATTTTTGCTTTTTGCTGTTCTCGCTTTTATTTTGAAGGAAGAGGGTCCAAAAATATCCAAAATGTGTTTTCGAAAGTTTTTCGGCTTTATTAACCCCTATGAGTCGCCGGGGCAGAAAAATAAAATTTAGAAAATTTTGGAAGTTTTGGAAAAAAGGGGTACCTATTCCAGCTCGATGACAACCAACAGAATAGTTAACAAATATAATTTTTGAACCGATATTGTAAAAATAGAAATATTCCGGCAATCTGAAATATCTCGGGGCTCCGATTCGAAGCGCCTAGGGGTCAGAGCCACCATTTTAAGCAACTTCCAACCCTCCCAGGATCCGGGGCTATGGGATAGGTCGTCAAAATTTTCGAGATAAAATTTTCTTCGAGTCCGGAAAGGTGTCTAGTGTGGTGGCTGCTATGAAAAATCCATCAAAAAAATTTTCAAGCCGGAAGGCCCGATAGAGCAGCTAAAAGTGCATTTCAGCTGCACTTTTTTTGCATAAAATTAAAAGTTTATTAAACAAAAGAGCCCATTGGCAGCTAATTTTTATCGCATCGTGTTCCCCGTATTTTTTTTTTATTTTTCCACCAATTTTGAGCGGTTTTGGACTCTGTGACCTCACAACCTCTACATGTAAGGTAAGGTAATAGTTAGTAGTTCCATCAAACGCTTGGCATAATTTGATTATTCAAACATCGAATTTTTCTATTTTTGGTAAAGATATGAAAAGTTCATGCCTTTAGAAATAACAAACGCACTTTTGAAACAGTTTCTCTTTGAATATGAACTTTGAACAACTGGATCATAAGAAAATGTTGAATGGGGCCGGGCAGCCGAGCAAATTTAATTTTTGGCAACCCACGTACCTCCTCGCTCATACTCCATGAAGTCGGTTTTGGCTCGGCATAGGCGGCTCTGATTGCTTCCAGAACCCGAACTTGATCAGCTCGTGTTTCAAAATGAAGATTTATGGACGAGCACGGGATCGGATTAGCGATGAATGGCTTCCAGTCGACCGTGCGCTGAATATTTTGATTTTCAAAACCGACAAATCTAGGCAGCCTCAGCTCATCTAGGCTAGAAAATGTTCTATCTGTGCAAATATTCCAGGTCAGGGAAGGGGAAATCACTGGTCTGGTACGTCTAGGTAGCTAGAAACTTTTCAACTGGAAAGTAAGTGACGTGGAAAAAAATATAAAACTGACGACGTAAACAAGACGATTCGACGGGTCAGGCGAGATTCGGTCGAAGAGCAGCTCCTGTGCTGTGTATTCGCCAGACTTCCCCTCGGTGTATAGCTGCAAAAGGTTTTCGAAAGTCTCAAAGCCAGAGATTTCAAAGATAAACAGATCCCAGCTACGCCGTGCCAAGCAAAAACGCACCGTACTGCCGAAAATGATCCATTTCTCGCGTTTTTCGGGCTTCGGCTGCTGAAGCAGAACCACCGCGTTGTGTCGAGCCACGGACGTCCACTTCCAGCCTCCCTGCACAATGTCCCAGAATTTTTGCGAGTATGACTTCACAGGATCACTAAAGACAATGATTTGGGATACCTCTTACGAAAGGAAACACCGACACTTTATCGTATTTTTATTACTGAAATTTTTATTTCGGCATTTATCCTTTCAAGACGTACCGCTTTTCCACACCTCCCTCCTCCACATTTGCCATGTTGGCTTTCGTTTTCGGATCACCTCCGGCCCGCTCTTCCTTCCCTATCCCCACCATGCCGCTTCTAAAGTGAGCCCTGTCCGGTGTCAGAGGAGTTGTAGTAATTTGACAAGAAGTTATGATTTCCTTTTACATCAAAAACTCAAAAGATCAGAAACCAATGAAAATAGATAACGAAACAATATGACCCGATTGCAACGAGCCCTCTGCCGACATTCAAATCAATGCAGGAATGTCTGTTGATGCCCGAGGCAACGTTACAGGGGCAAAATTGACCCAAAGGTCCAAGGGGTCAATTTCTGGCGCCAAAAATCATTGAAAAAATTTGTCCTGGATAAATTAAACCGAAAATATACAAATTATTGGGCTTCTGGAGTAAATTTACGGAAGAAAGTCAGTAACCAGGCAGAGTGTATCGTATCGTGCCCTAAAACTTCCGTAGCGCTCTTCATTGCACAATCCAAAAATGGTAATGATTACAAAAACGTTTATTAATCTGATTCTAGAAGCCTTTAAATATCCGTAGTCGAGACCCGCATTGTTCAACACATTAAAATGGCGTTAAAAGTACTTTGAAAGCGCGATCCCGTCCAGCCATCCGGATTGCCCGACGGGAACTCGATTCTGAAATTTTGGAATGGATTGGGATCTCGGTTTAATGTACATATCTCTCTCTCTATCTATCTATCTCTCTCTCTCTCTCTCTTTCTCTCGCCTACCTTAATCGCATATTCTTCAGCCGCCTCCTTCATATCATCATCCGACCAATCCTCATAGTCGTCAATCCCTCGAGATTCCTTTTCCGATTTGTACTCGTTGTACTGGCGCGCCCACTATAATGAAGAATAGGTTTGTTTTCTTATTTTATTATAATTATTTTCGATGAGCATGTTATTTAATTCTATCGCCAGCCATACCGTTTGCTGCGCCTCCAACGTCGCATCATGGGGCACAAAATTGACGGCGGTGCCGAACGTCTCCGAAGAATCGATCTCCATGAATTCGCCGTCCATCGCCAGGTCGAAGTGGACAGGGGTTTTGCTGCCTCGAATCCCAGTGCTACGTGACGCATCGTCGTCCTCGAGGAAAATCTGAAATTATTTTCAGATGTAGTTTGTCTTTCAAAGTGAGAAAATGACGAGAAGAAGCGATCGCTTACCACCGCCGGCGTCGAACGCCCAGAAGATGATCCCCCTTCAGAGCCGGCCACGATTTCGATAATTTGAAGCCTATCTTCATCGGACATTGCGGCCATTTCAGCTTTGACAGTGGGATCCAGGGCCAGCTGCAGCACTTCCGGGTGCTTCTCCAGGAGGTGGCGCAGCAGGAATATGCAGCGGCTGGGGGATAGACGCTTTCTAAAAAACAGAATCCATCCCTGCTAGCTGAATTCAGCGGCATCAACTAGGTGAACAGCATTACCCGCTCCGAATCAACAACTCGCGCGCTTGCTCCGACGAAATGCCCTCAAACGAGCTGACCGCCTTGCACACGTATGGCACGCGAATGTAGTCGAACAGCACAGGCATGATTAAGCTTTTCTAAAAAGTTGATTTCAGTTATATTGAAAAAATTACCTTTTCGGCCAACGCTCGGCTAATGGCCGCCACCACCGGCGGGTGCCAATTCTTGACGAATTGCTGTGTGATCTCGCGGCACAGCACCAGCAGGATGCACATTGCCATGTTTGTCTAGAATTTGGTGTAAAATTGGTATAATTGTTTTTATAAATAATGTTTTAATTAGCTACCTGATATCCTTGACTGCTGGCGATCTTCAGCAACGCGTTCTGCAGCAAAGCCGCCGCCAGCTGATGCGCGTCGGTTTGTTCGATAGCGAAACACGCGTTCAAGTTGAAGACCCCACTTTGCGACTAAATACAAGTGTTTTTCACTTTTTAGATGTATGCTTGAATGCGATATAGATTTATTTCATCGTTTTAAAAAGTCCAACTCGCTAAGAAATCGACTTACGGCTTTCCGGAAATCCACCCAATCTTGCGGCATTTTCCCAAAGAGCATCGCGCAAAGCTGAGCTGCCTAAATCCATTTACCAATTCCGGTTCCCTAACAAAACACACCGTCCTAAAATCCAGCAGTCCGGTGTGGGCGTAGATCTGGATGAAAATCTCGGTACACGACGCTTCCGGCGTGTGAGAATCTTTGTGAAACTGTAAAGATCCTTTTGAGTTGCCTTTTGATTTTTCACTACCGTTGCCATCAAGTCCAGCGACATTTTGTGGGCACCACAAATTTGCAGCAATTGCGAAAAGTTGGAAACTGTCGAGTGGCCGCCTAGAAAATTATATTAATAACAGCAAGCCGATTACCGCATCGTTCGACGATCGTTTTATAAGTCTCAAGGCTTCCTTTCAACGCCTTCAACTTTGAGTTATACTCCACGTAGCGGCAGTCCAGTCCGAACACTTCCGGTATGTGTAAACCGAGCGTACTTTCTAAAAATATACGTCAACCATCTCGATACAAAACCGACCTGTAATCCCGTAGATCGTCTGTAGCTGAGAAATGACGCCCAGAAGAGACCAGGCCAGCCGGTCCTCGCCCAATGGGTCATTTTTCCCAGGTTCCGCCAAAAACGCAGCCAACAATTTGTTACTGTCCCCCGAATCGTAACGCAACCAACGCTGCACTTCATCGAAATCCCTGAAAGTTTTAAACAGCGTATTATGCCAAAAAGAGCACTTTTGCCAAGAAAGACTTACTTTTTCGCGATTTTCTCCTCGCCAACCTCCAAAAATCGGCACATCAAAGCCGCTGTGAAGTCGATAAAGTCGGCGAAGCCCAGTCGGTGTGAATCGAGACTAAGAATGTTATAGAGGGTCATCCAATAGAAACAAACCTGAAGCCGTTCGCTGCCGAAACTACGATAAGCCGCGTCATGGCCTTCACCGTGGCTTGATCGAAGTATTGCGGTATAAAGCATTGTTCCGGGAGCCCGTGATATAGTTTGAGCAATAGTAGGCGGATTACTAAAATGGTTTCCGCTTTTAGAATTCGACATTAGCATGACTGACAAATCTGAGCAAAGCTGATCCCTCGCAGCTCTTCTGCCGACAGCCCGTGCACTAGCGCCAAGAATTTTGCCGACAACAGCGGCGTGGCATCCACTCGGAGTATGATGAGATCGAGCAAAAAGTGTATCTTCTGTACGTTGGTCATCTTCTGGGAGGCCGTGGTGTAGATGCCCGGCAAATCCGCGCGCTTGATCATTTGTGTGATGTCTAGATTTATTTTCTTGAAATATCTTCGTCCGACTCACCGTCCATGATCGCCAGCGGGCCTCGCTCGCCAAAAGTCTCCTCCGTTTTCTTCGTCAACGCTTTATAGAAAGCGAACCCGCGCTTCTCCAGCCCCTGGTCCAGCAATTTAGCCAATTCGTAGTGAGTGCTCGCTTCGTGGACGCTAAATAGAGCTCATCGACCTACTCAATATCACCTACATTTCATGAACCTTCTCTTTTCGAGCCGTGCTCAGCGGGAAATCGAACTCCACTGACAATTTGATCACAGCCAGCTAAAATCTCCAGTTTTTAACATTTGCTCAGACTCACAGTAGCGATCGGGCTGTCAGAATCCATCCGCCGTTGCTCCACCAAATGTCGCATTAATCCAATGTACTTTTCTTCATAGCTTTCCCCCTGAAATAAATCTTGAATTTCTTCTAACTACATAGGTTTCGATTGTCGGCTACTTTCGTCTGTAGGGACCTACCTTCAGCGTGGAAAACACAGCATCCAAATCCAATATTTCAGCTGAAGATTTCGTGTTCTTGGGCGGCATTGGAGGAAATTTTAGAAAGATTTTAAAAATTTTATTAATGATACCAAATTTTTGAAGGCTGTTTTATTAGGCCGTATAACTAGTTGCAAAGCACGCAGTCTTGGACGCAATCTGTCGTATTCTTCCGTAGCCTTGAAGATTTCGTTTTGTAACTGATTCGAAAAACATTTTTTTTTGGAAATTCCTTTTTGGGATTTTGAAAATTAATAAATTCTTTAATGTTGAACTGCGATTGACAAATCAATAATACGTTTCAGATTCTATATGGAAGAAGCAGTCGAAGAGACTACGCAGGAATCCAGAAACGAATACGCAAGAAACCTAGTCTGGACGACGTTCTACTTTGACGAGAAAACGGTCAACACCTGCGACGTGTTGCTAACGAGGCAATTTCTTGTGTAGGCACATTTTCCCAGGATTTAATTGTTTTTAGGGATAGGAAATTGCTGAAGAAGTCGCTGGCTACTGAGCCCGTTGGTCAGGATCTCGAGGCTGTGAAAGCCAAGGAGGAGCTCGAACAAGAAATGGGCAAAACTGGTTGGTCTTTTGAGGTTTTTATATGAATGACAAGTTTAGAGAAAACCGACTCTGACGAGAAGCTCCCAACTTCATTTGGCAGCAAGAAAACCTCGCGACCGTTGCCGCGCTCATGGCTGGGATGGATAGAGAAAATGGATTCAAAGGCCTATTGGGAGGTATTATCACTCCCAGTTTTTCTATGTGGGTTTTAGAGTATCAACGAATATCTCATCTACAAAGTATGGCTGCGTCTCTACTCGCAGGCAATTTCGATGCTTTTTTCCTTACGCTTTTTTTAGGAAATGGACGAGCAGGGCCAGGAGGAGTTGCTTCATAAAGCGGTAAAGAACAAACCAGCTATGATCTTACCGTGCCACGAAAAACTGAAGGTTTGTGGGAATGGTTTCTTACAAAAAAAAATTATTTTCAGAATCACGCGGACGATTTCGTGGAGATTGGTGCAAAGTACGAGGATCCCGGGCAGCGGATGGAGGCCCTGGCTAAGGTTTGCTATTTTGAAATCATTGATGTGTTTTATTTTCAGTTTCTCGAGCGTCGCTGCCACCAGGATTTTCTGGCGCTTTGGGCCTCGGCTCGCACGACTCGGTGCCGGAAGTACCTAGCAAAGGTTTTTAAGCAAATCAGACTATTTATATATTTTTTAGATGGAGAGGCTTGGCATCGCCACAGGGCTGGACAAGAAGAAATTCACGGTGCCCGATGACACCGTCACGGTTTGGGTTCGCTTTTGTTCTGTATCTTTCGCTTTAGCCGGTAATCGATTCCGACGATTCTGACGACCACGGCGAGGAAGCGGCTGAAGAACCACAAGCCAGTTCTTCTGTGGAAACGCAGGTGTGAATAATTTCTTTTGCCTAGTTCAATCTTTCAGCCAATCTACGACGTTCTCTACGAGGTGTACGAAGAGGGCGCTCATTTGGAAATGAAGTTGGGCGCGAAATCCGAACGACCTCAAGCCCAGGCTCAGCCGTCTGTTGGTTAGTTGGCAAAACCTAACATTTACATGATTTTTAGAGGAAGCCGCTACACCTGTTTACGATATGGCCAACTTTTCGTTTGCCTATGATCCTGAAAAAGATGCCCAGCTGCTGGCCTCAAATGCTTGCGAGCTCTTCCATATGGATAAGGTAGATTTTTTTTTAACGCTAAATTGTTTTAAGGAAATTCGGAAATACTGGTTCCAGCGCTATCGACTTTTTTCACGCTTGGATCAAGGGGTGTTGATGGATCGGGGTAAGTCTGAATTTTTTTATATATTCGTTATTTCTTCAATTTAGAAGGCTGGTTCTCGGTGACGCCAGAACGAATCGCATCCCATATTGCACAGCGTATGGTGACGCGCCCCGGGATGGTGATCATCGATGGGTTTGCCGGCGTTGGAGGAAACAGCATCCAATTCGCGCTTCATGGAGCTTACGGTACTTTATTCTTACTCCTGTTGGCCTAATTCCACAGGGCGTAATTTTAATAAAAGTGAATGTTTTGTTCCTACACTTTTTTAGTATTCCTAAACGTAAAAAAATGATAAATGTGATGAAAAACGCTAAAAATTCAAACGTGGGCCCACAATTTCAAAATTGTAAGAATTCTCGACAATTTCTAGATGTTTTTTTGATTTCAAATATTTCTAAATTTTGTTGAAAAAGAAAACGGCTTACTTTGCTAAACATAGCTGGACTCAAAAATTCAGTTCTCCCGTTGTAGAAATACTAAACCCCTTTGGTAACAAAATTCATTACAGTAATCGCCGTCGACCTCGACCCAATTCGCCTAAAATGCGCCAAGCGTAACGCCGAGGTGTACGGCGTGGCCGAACACATCGAATTCATCTGCGGAGACTTCTTCCATGTCCTCTCGCAGCAGCGCTTCCAAAGCGGACAGTCGATCATTGACGCCGTGTTCCTATCACCGCCCTGGGGTGGCCCGTCGTACATTTTTGAGAAGGTACCGTACAGCTCTTATTCCCTAACAGAATCGTTTTTAAGGAATTCGACATTGGAACTGGGTGTACGCCGAATGGTTTCGACATTTTCGAGGCGGCGCGCCGGCTGACGCCCAACATTGCTTACTTTTTGCCAAGGAATACGAAACAAAATCAGGTGATTAAAATGTTAAAATCAAACTTAGAGAATTTTCTACATAAATTGTTTGCCTATGGATGCTAAAATTAAAAATTCTATAATTTTTTAAAGATCGTTCATCTGGCTGGCCCTGGAGGCAAGGTGGAGGTCGAGCAAAGCTGTTTGAACAAGAAGGTATAATTTCTATTCTTTCTTACGCTCACGATTTTGTCCAGATCAAGACCATCACCGCCTATTTCGGGAATCTTTGTCAAGGAGCCGCGAAATAATTTTGCTCATAATTTCTTGTTTCGGATTTTGAGGCTTTTTGTTGTTTTCGTTTTTATCCCTATTGTTACCTTGTCATTTCTCACATTTTTATTGTGATCTGCGGTACCGGTGCTGATTGCAGTGCTTTTTTTTATAAATTGGTATAAAGAATAATCTTTCTTCGATGATTTTGTGTGACGCCAGAAACGCATTTCAGATACCGGAAGCGCTGCGGGCGGCCGTGAGAAGTTCCGGGCCGCTGCGATTGGATTAAAAGATAAAGCTTCACCGGAACTTCTCTAGGCGCGCTCGTGCGTTTGACTAGAGACCCTGTGGACACACACGGATGATCGGGCAAGAAGAGGGAGAATTGGCAAGAGGCGGCACATCGGCCAGATCCATTTCAACAACAAAAACGAACAGTTATAGGGGATTCGAACTCGAAAGCATGAAGATATCGTTGATTTTTCGTTGTTTTGGCAATTCTTTAGCATTAAAAGGGGGTAATTTAGCAATGAAACCCCGCTAGTATAGGAAAGCAATTGTCGAATACTGTCAAGTGGTTAGAATCGTGGTTTTGTGGAAAGGGCAACAACAAAAAGAGGCAAATGCTAGGCAAACAAGTCGAGATCATGTCGTTGTGAGTGGAGGGGACCCGCTTGGAGTAATGGCCGTTATGAAGAGGTGGCGAATCTGAAAGCAAATACCTTTTCTTTGGTTTTCTTTGTTTTATTGTTTCCTTTTTTCTTTAATACCAGCTAAAGCAGGTAATAAAAAGTATTTTAAGACGCACCATTTCGGATCGCGCCACCCGTGGGCCGCGGGGCCGAACTTGTAGACGAGCTTCTTGGGGTAGAGCCCGGTTTTCGGCACCGGCACCAGAATCTGCTTCTCGTAGTAGGTTCTGAAAAATTTCATCGTTGTTTCGTTATTGTGGGGTTTCGTTATAATCCTTATTAATTTAGTGAATGCTATTGGCTAAGACGTGAACGACAAACCTCATCGCCCGGGACAGCTTCTCGTAGGTCATCTTGTGGTTGTTCTTCTTCTCGCCCCAAAGCCGCGCCAGCTTCTCCGATTCGACGATGCGAAAGACGCCCTCGATCGGGTCTTCCCACCTGAAAAAAGGGTATTACTCATCGTTTTAGTATTATTTGGTTTTGAATTGGATTTAGGGCCTAGCGGGCTTTTTCGTGTGCTTTTCGCGCTGATCTAGCTTACCTGACGATGGTCGGGCAAGTCGAAGAATCTTTCAGCGCATCCCGGATGAACTCCCACAGCTTATTCCCCTTCGTGTGTTGCGAGCGCTTCCGCGGTCGGCCATCCTTATTTCGAGTGACTTTCGAGTCGTCTTCTAAAAGTTTTTATAGCTAATATTTTACGGGTTTTCAGGCCATATTATCAAGAACCTACCATCGGAATCGTACTCGTCGTCTCGACTGGTGCCCGGCTGCTGTGATGTGTACTTTGACAGCAGGTCTACCGTACCAGGCGACAAACCCTGTGTGTTCATTGGCGAGCGCGGGGATAGGGCCGCCTGGAAGCAAAAAAAAACGTATTTTTACCTTGGGAATCGGTTATTTAGTGTTTTGGAAAACCGATTCCGAGGAGTTTCAACTTTCGACGATTTCAATATGACAAAAACTTACAAAGAAAAAGAATTGAGGACAAATAAGTAGATTTCGAGTGTGATTCTGGCTCCAAAATGAAATGGACAATGGAATTTAAAAGTTGCTTCTTTTTAGAGGACGAATTGTTCCGAACAATGATTAGTTAAATTTTAAAATCTAGCTTTTGTTGCCCCTTTAGATTTAAAACACGCTGATTTCGCAAAATAAAAATTTGAAGTTTGAAGCGGAAAAGCGGCGCTCGATGCGAATTTTGAAAGGGCAGCGATTCCAAAACCTCCAAACAACGTTGCAAACCCCTTTAAAAATACAAAAATCTCGGGGAAGGTCATTTTCAATCAACTATAATACAATTCATAAAAAAATAAAGTTTGCAAGCTGTTTTTGAAAGCTACGCTCGCAAATAACAATAATTTTTGTAGGTTCCGGCGGATTTGTCAGGGCTACGGATCTATCCGTTCTAGTCCCTTTAAAATCCAAAAAATGAATTGAGGAAGTAAAAATGCGATTTTCAAACGACAAATAGGACTTGGCTGACCTGTATCTGCTGCAAGCCCAAATTTGTCGACAAATTCTGAAGGGTGGTGAGGCTGTTGGCGGCGGCGAGAGATCTGTAAGGAGGTATGATGTGTACATAGGATCGAGGCGTACTGTGCCAGCTGCAGCCGCGTGGGGTCGATCAGCTGATGGTGGGCATGGGGGTGTTGCGGGGGGAGGGGTGGTGGGAGTTGGAATCCCTTGCCGGACAGGTCGAAGTGGTTCTGCAGCAGGGAGGAGGAGCTGGAAAAGAGCGGATAGGCTTAGGCATAGCTTAGGCATAGCTTAGGCTTAGGCCTAGCTATCACTCACTCGGAAAAGTTGATCGACGGCGGCAAGGTGGTCGGAAGGGGCCGTGGGGGTGGGGCTAAAAGCGGCGGAAGGGGCGCGGATAGCATTCCGGTCATCCCGAGAGGAGCCTGAAACGATGAGTAAGTCCTTGAACGCGTCGCGGCCGCGTTGAGTGTCGCGTGCGAGGGAGGGAGGGAGAGAGAGAGCGAGAGCGAGAGAGAGGGAGAGGGAGCGAGAGAGAAAGATAGCGGCATAGGGAGAACGAGGGGTAAATTCACGCTCACCTGTGGCAACGGATGCGGCAGCCCCAAATCTGTCGTACGCGGCGCGGGCGCGGGCGCGCCCGCGCCGCGCTGCTCGTCGTCGAGGCTCTCGCGGTACTTGCGCATCGCGTCGTCGATCACTGAGTCATCGGCGGAGGCTGCAAAAAGGGCGCGTCAACAATCGCCGATAGTAAAGTAGCGAAAAAAGATTGGGGGGGGGGGGGTTCCGCCGGCGTGTTCGGGGTGCTTAACGGATGGCCCCGGCCGGCCATCTACGGTCAGCGGCGCGGAACCGGGCGCGGGCAGCAAATCGGGTCGACGAAATTCGCGGGTTTTTTGTAGGTTTAGCGATGCGTTCTGGTCGATTTTTAAGGGAACTGGTGGGAAAGAAAGGAGTCACGAGGAAAGTGTTTAGCGTAGCGTACCGGAAGAGGCTTTGCGGAACTCGCGGAAGAGGAGAGCCCCATAGTTCGGGTCGAGCTCCAGGAAGGCCGTCTCTGAGAGGCGCAGCATCGATTTGCCGTCAAAATTGGCGAACTAAAACATATGGAGAATTCGACGGAAAATTAGAATTTTTCAAACAAGACCCTGTGGGTTTTTGGAGGAGAGTACGCTTCACTACCCCACTTACGCGATGCATGTCCAGATCCTCGAAAGGAATCTCATGCGACCGGGCGACGTCTAGCATCCAGGCGACGACGTCGTCTCGGCTCCATTCCGACGACTCTTTCACCCGGAATCCCGCCAAGTCAACGCTGAAAAACGGTGGATGTCGTATGGTGTGGTATCGGCGTGGTTATAGTATTACCCCGGAAATTTGAGGAGATCCGGAAATCGGGTTTTGTTTTTAGATTTTCCCTTGCTTGGCTCCAGACATGTAAGAAGTGAGCGAGAGAGAAAGCGAGAGAGAGAGACAGAGAGAGAGAGAGGGCGAGAGAGGGAGAGAGGGAGAGAGTGAGCAACAGAACACACGTTTTCCTAGCATTTGAATAGCGGAGAAACGGGTGGGAACGCGGCGGGAGCCCCCCGTTCTCCCAGGCGGCCAACCTGGGCCCATAGCGGATCAAAAACCGGGGCCCACGTCGCCGGGGGGCCCACCACTGTGGCCCCCAATTAATATTTGATGAGGAGCCCCCAGCCGCAAAAGGGGCCCACCGCGCGGACTTCAGCTGCTGACCGCGTAAAGTTGGCCACTGGTGGGGCATAGAGTCTAGCAGGGATAATTGGGGAATTTTGAAAGGAGGTGTCAAAAGTTAGCTCTTGGTATCGTTATCTCTCTCTCTCTCTCTTTCTCTCTCTCTCTCGCTCTCACTCTCTCGCTCCCTCCCTCCCTCTATCGCTCTCTCTTTGTCTCTCGCTTTCACCCTCTCTATCTCTCGCTCTCTCTCTATCTCACTATCTCTCGCTCTCTCTCTCACCGTTCATTGTTGGGGATGGGCTTAAAGTGGGCGGTGGTCATGTGTGGGCGAAGGATGTGGTGTGATGATAGGCTGGAGAGCAGCGACGGGATTGCCACCATCAACGGGGGGGAACAGCGGCAGGGAAGAGCCCCCGTCAACCACCTGAAAATGGAAATTCTAGGCAAATCCATGAAAAACGATTCAATTAAGCTTCATTGGGTCTAAAAACCCCGTGGCTAATTGGTAGTGTTTTAGACTGGTATCGGAATGGTCGGGGTTAAAATCCCCCCACGTGCCAAACTTTTTGCTTTTTGGGATATACGCCCAATAACTCAGCAAAAAAAGATGGAAGCCCTCAAAAATTGTGCGGAAACGTTCTAGGTAGGATTTTTGCCGCCTGCCCCAAAAGCCGGCGATTCCGAGCCACAACAAAATACGCAGCCAAACAAAACAATGTAAAAATTTTTTAAGGTTTTGGAGGCACTACGAGATGCTCCGGTCTACGTTTTGAGTACACAAATGTACATTGCGGAGCCGAATAGGAGACGATAATGGAGATATTTGAAATTTTTTAACTCACCGGGGCCGGCGGCAAAGACGGGGTGGAGGGGAAAAACGAGGCCGCCGGCGATGATAGCCCCTCGATCGGCTGCTGGAAGAAGGTGAAAATTTTGTTTTTCATGAGATTCCAGGAGCTTGGGCTTAGACTTAGACTCATTAGGCTTAGGTTTCGGCTTTGCTTAGACTTAGGCTTAGGCTTGGGCTTGGCTAACGTTTTGGCTTAGGGTTAGGCTTAAATTGGACCTAGGCTTAGGCTTGGCTTAGAGTTGGCTTCGGATTAGGCGTAGCTTTCTACTTTGCTTAGGGTTCAGCTTAGACTTAGAATTAACCTTACGCTCGGCCTAGGCATATGCTTAACTTTCGACCTTGCTTTTGGGCTTGAGCTTGGGCTTACCTGATGCACGGTGCTCGATGTGGCGGCGAGCAGCGGGAGGGCCGGGTAGGCCGATGAGGGGCTGTCTGGAAAAATGTAGGCTATTTTCTTGACTTCACCGTCCCTTTAAGGATCAGAAACCGGTTTTCCACCATTAAAATACAAAAATCTCGACCAAAAAACTAAAAAACTCCTGTTTTTTCGCCCCTTTAGAGCCCAAAATCTGATTTCTGGCATTAAACAAATATCCTGCAAAAAAAATGCAAAAACATTTGCAACGGTGCGCCGGGGCCAAAAAAGCGGAAAGGTGGGGGGCCCACGTACTAATCTTTGGCGCCTAAGCTTGTTGGGCTCCCGCCGGAAACGTCGCAAAAAACGGCGGCAGGTGGGAATCCGGGGGGATTACGGCATCCGTACGGAGGAGTGGAGTGGAATTCGAAGATTTGATCGTGAAATTTAGCTGATTTTTCAAGGCAGCTGATCTTACGTGAAAAAGCGAGCGTGTAAACTTGGATATTTGAATGAAAAATCAAAATACCTCGATTGTTTTTGGGGTTTTAGCAGGTTCCGATCTTATACTCTCCACGTAACCTACTGAGAAAAATTGGAGGAGTTAGAAATGGGCAAGAAAAACGGAAGAAGGCTTTGGAAAAGTTGGTTTTCATAGTTCACTCCCTGACTCTCACTCTGGTTCGCTCGCTATCTAATTCGCTCTCTCGCTCTCCCTCCCACCTCTCTCTCTCTCTCACTTTCTCTCTCTCGCTCTCTCTATCCTCTCGCTCTTGTTGCTTCTCTCTTGCTGCTTCTGATTCGGAAACAAAAAATACTAGAGGGATTTTAGCGGAGGACAACAGAGGGAGAGAGAAGGAGAGAGAGTGAGGGAAAGAGAGGGAGTGAGAGAGATGGATCAACAGATTATAACGAAAAGCACCCAAGTCTTGGTCTCTGAGAGCGCATCAAAAACTGAGGAGCCCCCGGGGCTAAACGTGGCGGTAGCGTGATGCATAATTCATTAAAATGGCGATGAGCACGACAGGCAATGGGAGAGGGAGAGAGAGGACGCTGGTGAGAGAGGGAGAGAGTAAGAGAGAGACAGGGAGAGAGAGCAATAATCCGAAGGATGCGACCGGATGTGTAGAGGAGCGAAAAGTAGGGCCCCCATGTCTAGGTGAGCCATTTGCTTCTGCTGCCAACCCCCCAGCTCAGCTGGAAAAACGGGACACACGCGGGAAACGGCGCGTAATTGCGGGGGAGGGCAACGTGGCGGCGGTCGGGAGAATTAAAAATTGGCGTCGCCAGTTTAGGGTGATATTGTTAATCGGGAGCCCGGGATTAGGTTAAGCTGGGAGCGCCAAGCGGATATCAAAGATGACGATTGAGAGTGTTCAGCGTGTCAAAAGTGCAAGAATTGATATCGAAATGGAGACAGATAGAGAGAAAAGAGAGTGAAAGAAGGAGAAGAGAGAAAAATAGAGAGAGAAATCGAGACAGAAAGAGAGAGAGAGATAGAGAGAGAGTGAGAGATGGGGTGTTCTGTCGCGACCTAGCTGGGCCTAGTGAGCTAGATTCTACGTTGCTTGATCCCTTTAAAAGCCGTCAGAAACCGAAATTTAAAATTTAAATTAACAAAAATTTCTCCGAACCTTCGAAAGCGCGGTGATTTATTTTGGTTTTTTTTTGATTAGCTGCTAGAACGCAGAAGCTCAAAGCTGAAAAAACGGGCAAGCCTGCAGAAATCCCTTTTGGCATCTTAAGGTTCCAAAAAATATGCCGATCACCAGAGCTAGCGATCAAAATACATCGGCACGCGTGCCAGAGTCGCCCCGGGCGGATTGATTCCAAACAACTGACGGTCCGGCAAAAAGGGGCAAAAGCTCCCGGAAAATGACTGGGCCCTGGGTGGGGCAGGAGTCGAGGAAAAGCTGGCAAAGGGCCAAGGGTGGGAAAATTAATGGAATCCATTTACGGCAGGTAGAAAAATAGGAAGAACAATAAAACTTAAAACATCTGCAGAAAATAACCGCTCAGAAAACACCTAAAAATCTACAAAAATTAAAAAAATAGAGATTTCTATGCAAATTAGGTCTTCAAAAGCATAGGACTTATGATTAAATTATGTCAATTTTGGCATGGTTCCAAAACCGAGGAAATCCTTCGCAACGCCAGGGCAATGAACCAAGCCGGAAATCAGGTTCAGTGCTGCTGCACCGGGACTCGAAAAGGTGTCTTTCTCTCCCTCTCCCGCTCTCTCCCTCTCTCTCTCTCTCTCGCTCTCTCTATCTCTATCTCTCGCTCTGTCTATCTCTCTCTCTCTCGCTCTTTCTCGCTCTCTCCCTTTTAGGGCAATATTCATACCGCCCGGGGGGAGATCAGCGCGATAAGAAGCAGGGCAACAGCCGGAAATTGCCCCAATTTTATAGCCAATCAACTTTTTTTAGGCAGCTTTAATGGGATTTCAAAGTCCAAAAAGTTCGCCGATTGTTTATTGATATCCCGTTTTAGAGGGATTGTTTACAGATCTAAGTGCAGTCCCACTTCCAACTTTGAAGCGTCGAAAATCAGTTCCGTGTCTGTAAGCGGAGCGTTCCGGAAATCGAAAGGAGGAAAAAAGATCAGGAAATGGCTGAAACAATTTGACAATGGGGGAGCTGGAAGCTGGGAGCAATTTGTATAGCTTCTAGCTCCCATCATTTGACTGAACGCTGAAAACCGGAAAACCGGACCCGGAATGCTACCGGGATCAAGCTAGAGTCGGGAGATCGAAGCAAGAGAGGAATAGAGCAAGGAAAGCTCAAAATGCCGACACAAATGCTCGACTTTCAAAATACCGACAACAACGAAAGTGCTAACATGAAAATGCCGAGAAGCGAAAGCTTTTAAAAAGCGGTCAGCTGAGCAGCTAGAGATAGAATGGAGAGAAAGAGCGAGAGAGAAAGAGAGAGAGAGAGCGAGAGCGAGAGCGATGGAGAGAGAGAGAGAACCAGAGAGAATTCTAGTGTCTTTTAACCTGCCTATGGCCAGAAAAAGCCAAAATCTGCCAACAAAATTTGGGAAAATCGTCAAAACCTACTGCCACCCAAAACAAGCAAAAACTCGGCCAAAAATACACTTTATTGGAAATGGCTGATAGGCAAGTTGTTGATAGGGGAGGACGAGGAGAAAGATGATGTGGGTGGAGGGGTTGGGGTAGAGGAGGGGATCGATCTGAGGGACGAGGACGAGGAGCAAGAGAAGAAGGAGAAGGAGGGCCCGAAATGATCAAAGAACGGACCACCCAGAGAAGGGGCCAACGAGAGGGCCAACGAGAGAAGAGAATGTCGCTGTCTCTCGCTCTCTCTCTCTCTCTCTCTCTCTCTCTCTCTCTCTTCCTCACTCTCCCTCTCGCTGTTGGCTATACATACAAAACCTGGAAAAGAGCCAATTAGGGTTGGGGGTTGCGATAGGCTGCGAGTCGAGAATTTCTGGGAGTCCGGAGCCACGAGCTTCGAGGAGCTATGACTTAAGCCTAAGCAGAAGCCTAAGCCTAAGCTTATGGTAACCCTAAGCCCAAGCCCAAGCCCAATCCGAAGCAGAAGCCGAATCCTAAGCTAAGTCTATATTCTTGAGCCTAACAAGGGAACCACCTAAGGTCAAGGTGGCGTTTCGTTATGGGACCCAGCCTATTTTGTGTAGAATTTTTTGCTGTTCCGAACCCGCTTTCAATTTTTGCTAAATAGCTCAATTTAAAAAGTTATAGCGATTTTAAGGTCATATCTGTGCCCGCGGGAGGTCATTTGTCACGATGCACAACTTTTTTATCTTAATAGGGCAGACGATTTTAAATGGCCTATCTTGTAGAGAATTTTTTTCTGATTCGATTGGTATATTTGTTTAGTGCGCTACGACCTATCGACGATCACTTACGGGGGTGTGAAATAGGCAATTTTTCACCATTTCCCATACAAAAAACGGAGTCCATACCAAGTATCGTCGATTTTTTCAATTTTCAACGATTTTGAGTTAAATAGTTCATTCGATAGAGAAAATTTTTCTGAATACGATGGCGATATTCGTTTTTGAGGAATCAGCCGGGAAAGGCCAGATAAATGACTTTAAAGTTGGAAAATTTGGAAAAAAATGGAACTTTGAAATGCTATAACTTTTTAAATTGGGCTATTTAGCAAAAAATAAAAGCGGATTCGAAAT